TCAAATCCAGCCTTGGATACTTACTGTGTGACCTTGAATAAGTCACTTAACCTGTATTTGCCTCAGTTTCCTGAACTGTACAATGAGGACAATAATAGCGCCAATTTCCAAGGTGGTTGTGGAGATCAAATGAGATAATATTTGTAAAGCACTTAGCACAGTGCCTGGTACACAGTAGGTGCTAAATAAATGCTAGCTATGATGATGATGATGAATGGAATATTCCGCACTGACTAAATGTAAAGTTCACTCCCTGTTCTCAAGGAGCTCACATTCTGAGGGAGATAACACATATGGAAAGCTGCAGCTGCCAAGTCAAATGGAAAAATCCCATTATCCTTAGAGTGCACCAGCATGATATTGCCCTACATGACCACTGGCTCCTCAAGAAGAAATGGTAAAATGGCCCTCGCCTTGCCTTACGTGTGTCCATTTCTCAACTTCCTTCTGCTCTCTTCCATGCATTTTAAAAAATGGTTCACTGACATTCTTCTCTTTTCTTTTTTTTTTTTAATTATTGTGGCTTTCCTGCCTCCTCTTGAAAAAAAATAAAGCCTTCTCTCCCAACAAGTACCATCGAGGAAAACAAACCACCCTCTGGCTGCATCTGAAGAGTCCCTCCGCTCTCTGCCGAGAGGGTGAGTGGGGAACCTGCTTCCATCATCAATCTTCTTGAGCTCTAACTGGCTCATTGCAGCGATTAGAGCTCTTCAGTCTCTCAAAGTTGTTATCTTTTCAATTCTTCTCCTGGTGCTTCTGCTTCTTTCATTTAGATCAGTTCATACAAGTTTTCTCAAGTTTTTGGTTGTTTTGGATTTTTTTCTGAATCTGTCCCCATTCATTATGGAACAATAATATCCAGTTTTATTTATACGCCAGAATTTGTTCAGTCATTCTCCGCTTAATGGACAGATACCTTCCTTTGTTTCCGGCTGTTCGCTATAAAAGAGCTTCTATAAATATTGTATACTTACATGTCCTTTCCCTTTCTATTTGGTCTCTTCGGGCTACATGCCTAGTAGCAGCATTCCTGGGTCAAAGAGTAGTTTAGTGACTTTCTGGATTATTTTCTAGAATGGCTAGATAATTCATATCTCCATCAACAGGGCACTATTCAATTTGATAAACACTTATTAAATGCCGACTATGTACCAGGGACTGTGCTAAGCCCTGGGGATATGAAAAGAGGCAAAGGACGGTCCTTGCCCTCAAGGAGCTGAAGATCCAATGGGTACTAACTTGATCGTTCTCCCACAGCCCCAACCACAACGATCCTTTCCCCTTTTCTGTCTCAGGATGGGTGTGAGGTGGGACCTCAGAACCATAAATTGCATTTCTCTCATTTTTAGTGGTTTGGAACATTTTTTTTTTCAAATGATTGTTGATGGCTCGTAGCTCTTCTTTTAAGAATTGACCGTTCATATCCATTGACCATTTATCAATCAGGGAGTGGCTTCCGTGGCTCTTTCCACCGCTCCAGGCCGCCTCCTATGTACATAAGGGTGACTCAGAGGTCTGGTGTTTTATGTAAAGCGCTAGCTAGACACGTTCACAGAGGATGTGATGGGGGCGGTATGTCCTGCTCTCTGGCTTTTTTTTTTCCTGACAGCTGATTTTAGGTTGTGGAGCCAGATTCACTGAAAGAATTCACCGAAATGAAGCCCTGTAGGGGACAAGAGGGGCAGGAGGGTCGGCTTGCCTCTCTTCTCTTGCTTTTCCCCTCCTCGTTACTGTGCATTGCTATTATTTATTCTTCTGTTTGCCCCTCCGAAGGCAGCAGGCTCTCCCCCCCTTTCTTCCATGCCACAAAAGCTGGTGGCGGGCTGTTTCTGGCTTTCTCCTTTTGAGAGCTTAAGTGCCTGATCTCTCTCTGTCTCTGTTTCTGTCTGTCTCTCCCCCCTCCTTCTCTCTTTACCTGTCCCTCTTTCTACCCTTCTCCTGTTCCCTCACTCCCTCCCTCCTCTCTCTTTCTCTCTCTGTCTCTCTCCCCCTTTATCCCCTCCCTTCTTCCCAGAGGTCTCTCTTTCCGAAGCCTATTTTCTACATATTTTTCCCTTCTCTCTTTTCTTCTCCCTCTCTCCTCTTTTCAATCTCATGATTTGGGATCTAAAAGCTGTCAAGCCATTGGGCTTACCATTATTCCAGCTGACACGAGCTATGAAATGCATCTATTTAAAAATCCATTTCCATTTGCATAAACATGCCTGAATGAATTTTTAGGATGTTGTGTTAGAAAATAGATTTTCTTTATCCACTAAAGTTATTTTTTTTTTCCGATCTGCACATTTATTTAACCAAAAAATTCTCTAAAATACTTGAACTGTACGTTAGTTCTGTGTGGGTGTTTATATTTTCCCTCTCTTTCAAAGAGATCTGTATTATGGGGTTTGGAGAAGGGGCAGAAGGAATCAGGGCTGTGCCACTAAATATTTAACAACTGACTCTCCGAGGGGATAAATGTAGGACAACACACTTTTAAGCTTAATCTTCATTATTAACACTTTTTCCCATCACTATTTTAAGTCTAGAAAATCAACAGAATAATACAGCAAGCCCTGATCTGTAGTGTTCATTAATTTCCAAGATGTGTATGCTCATAATCCACATTTAACAATCACTCAGGAGCTGGTAAGAGCTGGCTCCAGTACATCCCTGGAGAAAGTATCCAAGGGAATAAATTTAAACATTTAAAACATTTTCTATCCAAGCACTTTAGAGTCTAAGGGCACCAGGCTGTCTTCTTAGGAGACTTAGGTTCCCCAAGTGCTCTTTGTAAGGAATGGTAAAATGACTAGCCACAGGTTGCCCACCCCTGGCTGGACCCTCACCTCACCTTAATAGCATCATACCAAATCACCCTTACAGGAAAAAGCAAACAAATTAAAACAGCAGCAGCAATCCAAAGCTAACCACACTGATCTCTATGACTGAACAAACATATTTCTATGTGGTCATAATTATGTCTACAGTACTCCCAGGTCTATGGTTGTTCAGGTGGTATAACTGGATAGCACCTCTTCCGTTCTTAATGCTAACCCACTTAGCTACTGAGATGCTCCCAATAGTCTTTCCAGAAGCAGAGAGACTGGGGGCATTCTATGATTGCAATGTCCACCTTGGGACAACATGGGGAACATCCCTCATTGGGGACACCTGTCAATGTAGTGGCGAATGTGGCATGTAAAATGGGACATTTTACCTGTGACAAGTATTCTTTCTTGTGATGATGATAGAGGTTTTTTTTAATTTGTTTTTGTTTTGTTTTATTTAGGTTTTATTTGGGTTTTGAGATCCTGTCTCTTAGAATTCCTGTATATTGTGCCCTAGAAGCATCTATCTCTCAACTCTTCTGCCTACATGAGGGGTTCTCATCTTTCTCTTTGGGTTACTTGGCAATCTGGTGAAGTCTATGGACCCCTTCCTTTTAACGGTTAAAAAAAATACATAGAATTTAAAGGAAACAAATTACATTGAAGTGCAGTTATCAGAATATTTTTTTAAAATACAATAAACAAAGTCACAGACCTCAGGTTAAGAATTTCTCCCTCTAGGTAGCTGTCCTCCCTTCAAGTCCTCCCTTAAATTTTTCCATGATATACTCCCATGAAACTGCAAATGAGCTCTCTGAATTCCCTCTGAATTCCCAGGGCACCCGATCTGTATCTCTTGTATTTATTCATCACATTCAGCCACAGCTAACTGTGTACGTGCTGGGACACATGCCCTTGTGGGTGTGGCTGAGACAGGAGAGGGGTATGATGGACCCAGCTTGGGAACATGCCAGCATGGAGGAGGCACATAAGAAACCTCTGCAAAACACCAAAGCATTGGGGAGATGTGTGCTAAGACAACCGGCCAATTCCCCCAGTGAACCGTGTCTCTTGCCTCTGGACCCAGAACTGATTTTTCTCCCCCTGACTCTGAATTCTCTTTACTGCAACAAGTTTTCTGGGCATCTCAGTCCCTTGGATGTTGGTAATGGGAAGAAGCCACCCAATCTGACATTTTGCTTTCTGCTTACTCGGCTCCCAGTTCGGACCTTGGTCCCTCTTTCCCTAAGGCATGAACTGCCCTTCTCACACCTCAGTGATTTGCCTAATTTCAAGTATCAACCTTGTCTGTCTCCATAAATAGGTTGCCCAGGAGTAGTTCTTGTAATGGGGGCCTACTATGGACCAGCTACTGTGCTAAGTGCTGGGGATACAAAAAGAGGCAAAAGACAGTCCCTGCCCTCAAGGAGCTTACAATCTAATGGGGAAGACAACAAGCAAACATATATGTAGAATCAAGATATGTACAGGATAAGTTGGAAATAACAGAGGAAAACAGGGAAATAGCAGAGGAGAATAAGAAATTAACAGAAGGAAGGCACTAGAATTAAGAGGGGTTGGGAAAGACTTCTTGTAAAAGGTGAAATTTTAGTATGGGATTTGGAAAAAGCCAGGGAAGTCAGCAGGTGGAATTGAGAAAGAAGAATGTTCCAAGCCTAGGAGTCAGCCAGAGAAAATGCCTGGAGCATCTGTGAGCATTAAATGAGAAGGAAAGCATAAAAGCCCAGCTGGGGAGAGAAACCTCAGCCTTTATTTTTCCCCTTTGGCCACCACTATGTGACTCTTAGGTGACTGAGTATCAGATTAGGCTATATGACCTTGTGAACTTAGAAAGATCAGGGGTGTTTGTGGTCTGCCAGCACAACACAAAGGAGTGACCAGGACCTGACCCAGCCCAGCTGAAGACTGACTTCACAGGCATGATGCTGGATCCTATAAGAGGGAGGAACGCCTTTATTGACTAGGCCACATTCTGAAGTGAACTTGGGGGAGCAAATATTTTGCAAAAACAGCTGTAAGTATGAGCCCCAGGGAAGAAAAGGTGGAAGAGGAGAAAGATGGAGAAAGGAGGAAAAAGGAAAAGGAAGAAGAGGAAAAGGGGGAAGAGGAGGAGGAGGAAGGAAGAAGAAGAGGAGGAAGAAGAGAAAGGGAGGAGGAGAAAGAGGAAGAGGAGGGAAAGGAGAGGGAGAGAGAGAGGAGAAGGAAAAGAGGGAAGCAGAAGAAGAGGAAGAAATAACAATTCTACCATCACCACAGATCCCTGAATACCATCCAATACTGGACATCCATCTGCTATTTGATACCTGACCTAATAAAGCAGCTGAGAGGCAAACCTCCCACACTGGACCTTCACACTTGTTCCGATGTGAAGAACAGAAGGCTTTTCAGACCTCACACCACCTGGTTTGAGCAAAGCCACCCCCTTGTCCCTGCCACATTTGTTCCTTCAGAGGTTCATGATGGGATTTTTCAAGACCTGCCGACCTAAGAGGGCAGCGGCGGCATAGCTCAATTGTCTTCTTCTGTACTCCCGGAATCAGGAACGCCACCGTGCCTGACGGAAGGGCGCTCTCTTCCACTGTCTGTGCCCCTGGGTTGGGAGGGCAGTGACTGTGTCCTGGTTGCCATCCTGTCTCCCCCAGTGCTGAGCACAGGGATTTGGATATAATAGGTGCCTGGTACGTACATATTGAATGGTTGGAACCAACAGCAGTGGGTGGAAATGGCAAAGAGGCCAGTTTAGGCCGATATCCCCCAGAAGCTTCTTCACAATTAGAACTATCCCATGGTGAGATGGGCTATGTCAGGAGACCAGCGATGCCTTCTCCTTGGAGTTCTTCAAACACAAGGCTGGAAGATGGCTTGTCAGGAGGTGACAGCAAGGATCACTTTGGTGTGTGGGCTGGATTCCATGGTCTCTGAAATCCTTTCCAATTCAAAATCGGAGAGTTTGTGTCATTATTTTTATAGATGAAGCTAAAGTAGACCTTTAGATGTCTAAAGTAGACATCTAAGATGACTTGGAGGTCATCTAGAGCCAGGGGTGGGGAACCTGCGGCCTCGAGGCCCTCTAGGTCCTCGAGTACGGCCCTCTGACTGAATCCAAACTTCACAGAACAAATCCCCTTAATAAAAGGATTTGTTCTATATAACTTGGACTCCATCAAAAGGCTGCACTCATGAACCTAGAAGGCCACACGTGACCTTGAGGCAGCAGGTTCCACACCCCTTCTATAAAAGCATAGATTTGGGGCTGGAAAGGAACTTAGAGGCCGTCGAGTCCAAACCCTCCCCCATTTTACAGACAAGGAAACTGAGGCCCAGGGATTTGACTGGAGACACTATCCAAACACGGCGAGAAGGTAATGAAGTTAGGAAAACACTCACAGCTAAGCAGTGCCTCTCACAGCCGGCCTCATTTTAATTTCTTTCTTTTTCGTTATCGTTCCTCTGACAGTCACTTGATCTTGAATAGGACACTATAAAAGGATAATAACTGACATTCAGAATAATAGCTAACATTTGCAGAGCACTTTAAAGCTTGTAAAGTATTTTACAAATAGCATCTCATTTGATTCTCCCAACAGCGATTCAAAGAAGGCATTATTATTATCCCCATTTTACAGATGATAAACTGAGGCAGAGAGGTTAAAAGATTTGCCCAGGGTCACCAAGTCTATCTGGCTTCTATTCACTCTACTACAAGGCTGCCAAGTTTAAATGTAATCAATACCTTAAAGTTTGCAAAGCCTTTGAAAACATCATCTCAAACAACAGCTCTGTGAGGGAGGCAGTGTAGTAAAGATCCAGGATTTGAACCCAAGTCCTTGGACTCCAAATCTGGTGTCTTTCCTCTGCACCTTTGCTATGTTAAAGGAGCCTTAGATTCAGAGTCTAAAGGACTCGGGTGCATTTCTCATAAGCACTATTTATTTTCCATGTGACCTTGGCTATGTCATCTCACTTCTCTGAGCCTCAGGCCCTTCTTTTGTAAAGAAGAAGGGTTAAGGCTGGATGACTTCAGAAGTCCCCTCCAGCTCAAAATCTCTGAATTCACTTCTTTCACAGGCCTTCACGGGGGATAACAAAGCCTGCTGCAACCTACCTGGTGGTGACTCAAATGATATAATATTTACATATGTATATCCACGTGATCAAGGAGGGATTCAAGCGGAAAGAAAAAATGAAGAAAGAAATTAGAGTGAGACTCTGTACAAAATACATTGCTGAGTCCAAGAAGCTTGTAATCATGCTGTCGTTCAGTCATTTCGGTCATGTCTGACTCTCCATGACCCCATTTGGGGATTATCTTGGCAGAGATACTGGAGTGGTTTGCCATTTCCTTCTCTGATTCATTTTACAGATACGGCAAACAGAGTTAAGTGACCTACCCAGGGTCACACAGCTAGTAAGTATCTGAGAACAGATTTGAACTCAGGAAGATGAGTCTTCCTGACTCCAAGCCCGGCATTCTCTTGCACCAGCTAGCAGCCCTTGTAATCACAGGACCAGGGATAAAAGATTTAGAGGCAGATGGTTCCTTAGGGCTCATGTAGTTCAAACCCTCCCCCCTTTTATTTTTCACTTTATGAAATTGAGGCCCAGAGGGGTGAAGGAATTTACTAAGGAGTATTTCACTAACTTTATTACCTTCTCACCTTCCTTGGACTTCAAGGCCACTGAGCAGAAATGTCAATATTTATAATAAAGTTGCTACCTAGGTCTGCTCTATTACTCATGATGGGTATGATGTTTCCCCTTCCCTAGAATCCAGGTGGAATCACTTTCAGCTGGTCATAGAGTATAGCAGAAGTCCATAGGGAGAGTACAGGGTTTCGTGTCTCCTCTAGGTACTTCAAGGGGGCTCTAACCTACTAGAGAAGACACATGGCCTTCTACAAACTAGCATGGAAGACAGTGACCCAGCATTTTATATGTATTAACCATTATTGTTATTGTTACTATTACAACCATTTGGAGGGATAGCTCCAAACATTAACCTGAAGTTAAATATAGGACCTGAAGTCAGAGGACCTGGGTTTGATCCCTGACTCTCCTACTTATCCTAAGATCACCGATTTGGAGATGGGAGGGCCCTTATGGGTCATCAAGTCTAACTTCATTTTAAAGATAAGAAAACTGGGGCCCAGAGAAGATATGTAACTGGACCAAAGTTCTACAAGAACAATAAGAACCACTGATGCCCCAAGGGACAATTGAAGTGACTCATCATGAATCACAAAGCTAATGAGGGTCTGTGGCAGGATTCAAATTCGAGTCTTTCTGACTCCAAGTCCAACAGTCTGTACATAATTCCACAGTACTTCTTGTCAGTAAAATGGCAGGATTGGGCTAGATTATCTTTAAAGTGTCCTTCAGCTTTAAACTAGTCTCTTAATACTTCAAAACTTCAAGGACCCATGGCTGTTGATATGGATCCTCCCTTCACCAATGCCCTTCACCGCCCTTTTATGCCTCACTTGATGGTGTCTGAGAACTGTTGCTGTCAACAGATTTCATGCCCTCTGTAACTAATTCGGTGATGACGCTCTCCAAACTTAACTAGGCTGGTCTTTGGCCAAGAGGGTCCATCCCTGGGAACTTCCCACAGGCCTCTCCAGCTTGAGAGGACCTGTCAGAGTTGAGAACCCAGGAATCCACAAAAATTGAGGAAATCATCTCTCAAGGAACTCTGACTCTAATTAGTGCAGACAATACATAGAGGAAGATTTAGATTTGGGGCTGATAGAAAGATCAGGTGGTCCTCAGAGTTCAAGAAATGGATGATAAGAAGAGACCTCAAAAGTTATTCCCTCACAGAATCATAGATCCAGAGCTGAAGGCCTTAAAGACCCTTTAGTCCAATCCCTTCATTTTATAGATAAGGAAACCTAGGGCCAGAGTAGTTAAGTGACTTACCTGAGGGGTAGCAAGTGTCCAAGGTGGGATTTGAACCCAAGGCTTCTGATTACAGAGCCAGTATTCCTTCTACCAAGGTAGGCTGCCCTGAAATAAACAGCAGATCTTTTTGTAGCAATTTCCAATTTCCAAATCACTTTCCTAAAAACAACCCTAGGAAGTAAGAGAAGCATTGTTACCTCCTCCCTCTTTCTTTTTATAGACAAGGAAACTAATATGGAGTTAAACTAATATAGCTTTACTAACCTCAACCAGAATTTTGTCCTATTATTGTGCAAAATTGTCTGTGAGTGGAAGGCAAAGAAAAATTTAGCTTGCTAAAGAAGCTCAGTAATTGCTGGTAGCAGAGCTAAGGGGGAAAAGGTATTGTGTGAAACTTTCATCCTGCAGGGTTTTTCAGGAACACATTAAAAGGAACCAAGCTTTTTGTTTAAAAGAAAAAAACTCTTATCTGTGTTGGAAGCTTATCCATGTGTCATAGGCCTTATAAGGTATTGTTCCACTCTTCCCTCCCATGCTTTTACATTTTCTCTTGAAATGAGGTAATCCCATAGTCTAAGAAACAATCAAAGTGACTCACTAGAAGAGATGATCTTTTACCCATATTTGGAATTGCCAAAGTCAGCAAATGCCTCAAGAAGACCTAATTTCTCTAAACTAGTAATATTACAAGTTGAGCCCCTATCCAGCATTTATCGCTAGACTTTACTTATATGTCCATATTGTCTCCTCTGATTAACATAAGCTCCTTGGGGGCAGGGATCAGTGGTTGCTTGGGTTTTTTTTTTTGTAATCACTGTACCATGCATACATGGTACATAGTAGGTGCTTAATAAATGCTTCTTGACTGACTGACTTTCCTGATCCATTAGAGAGCTAGGTCAGGCTACCTCTAAGGTCCAACCATTCCAATTTTACACCTATAATCTAATGATGTTGAACATATCACTTCTCTTTGGGGTTTTCTTTTAATTTATATTTATTCCACATATATGTATATTTATGTAGACTATAAATATATACTATACTCATCAATTGGTAAATTGTCAAAATTCCAGGTCCACTCCCTATTACTCTTCCTATACTTATATACATATATATATATATACGTATATATATATATACATGTATATATATATACGTGTATGTATGTATATATATACATATATATATACACATATATATATGTATATACATATATATACATATATATACATATATATACATATATATACATATATATACATATATATATGTATATATATATATACACACATACATACATATATACATATTCACAGTTCCAAGCATGGTGAGATCATCAAGTCCAACCCCCTCATTTTATAAACAAGGAAACTGGAATAATTTGCAGGGGGCCACATAGCCAATAAGGGTCTTGAGTGGAACATGAACGCAGGCATCCCCTATCCCAAGCTGTATCAACTGTGCCATGCTGGCTCCCCATTCTATTTTCACAGATCACCATCTGTCCATGGTCTTCAAGAGTTCTGTTGGCTAAAAAATGTATCAGCTCTCCAGTGATGAGCCTCTCTCAATGCTTAGCTAGGCTGGTCTTCCACCAGCAGAAGACTGGTCTCTGAAGCCATTCCAGTTTGGTGGGACCTTCCCCCATGGCCTGGCCTTCAAGGATACAAGACTCATCTCCAATCCAAGATGAGGCACCAAGGAAGACATTAGTAAAGTAAAACTCAAAAACTCTAGGTGAACAGCTAAACTTTTTGTGATGGCAAAGAACTGGAAACAAAGTAGATGTCCATCAATTGGAGGCTGGCTAAGCAAATTGTGATACCCAAATGTAATGGAGTATTACTCTGCCGTGAGAAATGATGAATGGGATGAATGAATACAGAGAAGCCAAGGAAGATTTACATGAACTGATGCAAAGTGAAGTAAGCAGAGCCAGGAGAACAGTATGCACAATGACTATAACAAAGTAAAAGGAAAGAATAACCACAAAGTAATCAAAAGTGATTTTTCGCAAAGTTATAAAGAACAGCATGGCTCCCAAGAAGAGAAATGAGAAGATGCTTCACCCTACTCCTTTGTGGAGGTGGGAAGTCTGTGGGAGTGACGCACTGTACACATTCTAGACTTTTTTTACTCTATTGACCAATATTATATTTTTTCCTTAAAAATACTGTTTATTGTATGAGATGGCTCTCTGAGAGGTGTGGAAGGATCCTGGGGAAATTTTTTTGCGAAATTAAAAAGATATCCATAAAAATTTATTTTAAAAAAATTAGTTAATATTGCATACATCTTATCTTTCTTGCTAGAGTTCCTTGAGGGCCAGAGCTGTTTCACTGATTTTTCTCCCCAAAGCAAATGGCACAGGGGTTTGCTCATACAAGGTACCAAATAAATGCCAAACTTAAAGAATGTGACAAAATTAAACACATCTCATGACAGTATCACATTAATAAGCAAGATCCCCTTGCAGAAAACTCGTGTTTGAAAATACTTTGCCAACAGCTGTCTAAGCACTGTGATGATTTTGTGCCTGTGTCCTGTGCTAATGAGGTTCACTAGCAGCTGGAAAGATATTTTTACACTTTGATGGGCTTGTAAAGGCTATGTTGGGCTTAAATAGAAACCCATTTCCCTTTTTGACATTAAAAGCATTCATTAGGAAAGGAAAAAAAAACCTAGAATTATTTATGGTCATTCCTTTATATTCTGAGGGCTCCAAATGGGAAGCCCCAAACTAAGACAATTCACCAAACTGAAGTTAGCTTTTTCTTGGGTAAATCGAGTTACCATTGGAAGGAAGGCTTTGTCAGTAGCCACGAAAAAGTAATGGTGGAGTTCCATGTATTGCTCAGAGACAGACCTAACGGTTGCAGGCAAAGCATGATTGCCAGAGCCCACAACAGTAACCTGTCAGTCAGGGCAGAAAGGAGAAACGCTTTTTGGTGCAAAAGAAGATGATGGCAGGAACCCTGAGTCCCTCTTTGTTGGCAGCTGTGAAAAGAGCAGCCAAGTGTAAATATGTACAATGGTAAACAGATGCCTCCAACTGTAGTCAAAACAGGAGGGAGGTGTTGACACATAGGTGATGACGTTTCAGCCTTCAGAGGCTGGATAGCAGGATGTAGGCACAGCAGTGACTCAGCCAGGTCCCTAGGGACAAGGACAATCCTTCCCCAGAGCCAGTAATCGTGAGTAGATCTATATACTGGGAATTATCATTAATTCGAAATTAATATGGGGCAGCTAGGTGGTGCCATAGTGCACCAGGCCTGAAGTCAGGAAGACTTCTCTTCATGAGTTCAAATCCAACCTCAGACACTTACTAGCTATGTGACCCTGAGCAAGTCACTTAACCCTGTTAAGGAAATGGAAAACCACTCTAGTAGCTTTGCCAAGAAAATGCACAGAGTTGGACACAACTAAAGGAACTCAACAATAACAAAATGAATACTGTCCTCTCTTGGCCACTGCAGAAAGCATGTCAATAATCTCTCTGATTTCCCTTCCAGTGGATTATAACTTCTCCTTGTGAGAGGTCAAAGGGTACAATAGAAAATCAGAACAGTGTCCGATTGCTAACATATAATTAAGCCAATCTTTTTCTCCCATTATAATATTCAATTAGCAAGTTATTTGGGAGAATTCAATTCAAGGCACGATGTCTGAAGAAAATTTTAAACAGGCACCTCCCAACCCCTCACCCCCATGTTTAAATGCAATGGAGAAATACTTCTTTAATATTTATGCCATCAGACTAGGAGAACAAAATATACTATAACAACATTATAAAAATAGAAAATTTTGAAAGACTTAATACCTCTCATCAATGCCATGACCAACCACAATTCCAGAGGACAAAAATAGGAGAATGCTACCCGCCTCTTTACATAGAGGTGATGGACTAAATATGCAGAATGAGACATATTTTTAACCATAGGCCATATGGGAATTTATTTTTGCCTGACTGTGCATATTTATTAAAAGGATTTTAATTCTTTTTTTCTTCCCTGGGAGTGGTGAGAGAGAGAAAATGAAAAAAATAAAAAATGGAATTTAAAAAAGAAAATATTTGTGACTTCAGCAAATTAAATAGCCACATTTAGAGATCCTTTTCATAACTTATGGCCCTCAATTATGATTCTCTGAAAGCTTTTTGTTTGTTGCTTTTTTAAGACAGTAAACATCATAAGCTGAGGAAGCCAGGTTCTCTGGGAGCAGGGAAGATGAAGTGAGCCGAAAGACGAAAGAATCACGACATGGTTTATCTTCTTTTGTTAAGTATGTTTGTTATCTAAGAGGTCTTTGCAAATCAGGATCATTACCTTGCATATCAATGCCACTTCTGACACGCTAAACTGCAAACAAATAAAAGTCAGGTAGAATGATGAAAGAATGGTGAGGACAATTTATTTTGCAGAAACATAACTGATTATGTTTATGATTCTGCCTGTGGTGGCTGCCACTGCAGCGAATATGCATTCTTTAAAGGAGATTGGTTAATCAAGTGAGTGTATGGTTAGACGTTAAGAGCAGCTAGGTGATGCCACGGATAGAGGACCTGGCATGGAGTCAGGAAGACCTGAGTTTAAATCTGGCCTCAGACACTGACGAGCTATGTGATCCTAGGCCAGTCACTTAACCTTGTTTGCCTCAGTTTCTCATCTATAAAATGAGCTGGAGAAGGAAATAGCAAACCACTCCAGTATCTCTGCCAAGAAAAACCCAAATGGGATCACAGAAGAGTTGGACATGACTGAAACAAGTGAACGACAAAAATTAAAGTGAGAGTGCAAATAGGACCTAGACCCCCTAGACCCCTAGTTGGAGGTGGCTCTTTCCACGACACCATGACACCAAAACTGCCCGTGTTTTTAGCCTGTGTTGTTGTAAGTCTTCAACTAGTCTGTGTCTGGGTACGTCTTGGCTGGATTGACAATCAGGAGCCCTTAGGAAGTCACTTTACTAGGACTGAGCAAATCATTTCACATCTATAGGCCTTAGCTTCCTCATCTGGGAGGAGGGAGGGTTGTTTCTAGAATAGATGACATGGAAAATCTCTCCCAGTAATCAATCTATGATCCTTTTGGAGCAACGGCTGATCCTCTTCACCTCTCCTTGACTAATTAAGTTCCTCAGTGAGTAGGGACTTTATCCTAATTCATTTTTGTGTGCCCCCATAGAGTCTAGCACAATGCCTTCCATTCAATATTGACAGAATTGAATTGAGAGTCATTTTCAATTCTCCTCTTCCAATCAGAGACTCCCAATTTTTCTTCCCAAAAGGAATCTAGTTGTCCTACTGGTTTTGCATAAAATCTACATACAATGGCAAGTTTGAGATATTTCAACTGTTCTCAAGTAACTCACTTAGTAATGTCATTAATACAGGATAAGGCAAACTTGGTTCTGATAAAACTTTCTCGAAAAGCTTTTATGTTTTATCACAACACATCATATTTGTAAATGACATTTAAAGCCAAAAATTTAACAAGATTTTTAGGCAGTCATTTAAAATAGTTTGATCACACAGTTCTCTCTCCATATTCCTGGATTGTTAATTTCTCAAAGTGCAGCATTTTCCTATTCATTAGAGCAGGTTAATCAGCCACGTTTTTGACATGGCAGTGATTGCAAATTTACAGCAATAAAATATATGGGCAAGAGCATATCATTATGTACAACTTGTCAGAATAAAATATTTTATTTCTAAATTGAGTGCTTTGTCATGCCTAGCATGAGGCCATGCATATACCCTGTAGGCAGTTAATCAATATTAATCTAAGGTTATGAATATTTACCCAACTAAGAGAGATATGACCAAAATTTCTGAATAATTTAAAATCAGCCGTAATGAATAAATTTATTATTCTTATTCCCATGGTGACAAAGTAAAAAATAGAGAAAAAACTGGAAATAAATTTAAGATTTATGATATGGAAAATCTTCATGGATGGAAAGAGATAAGGCTTACCTCAGAGAGAGATTACTAAAACATAAACAATAAGGAAATCTAATCAGATTTTTCCTTCCTTATTCCTTCAGCTTCCTAAAATGATTATAACTGCATCACTCAAATCTCCAACTACACAGATGTGCTTATGTTTGCCCCTTTTACCATTAAAAAAATAATAAACATTTGGGGTGATTGTTGCAATATACAAGGAGTCCAGGTTGTTGTAATATTCATGGAGTCTAGGTGTCAGCTATAGAACAAAGACTGCATCCTGTGGGCTTGCTTCAAGAGGACAAAACCACATTGAATTTGGGCACCAACAATCAGTAAAAATTTTAAAAATCTAACTTCTGTATCACACTCTTGTCTCTTCAAAGATATAATCAAGCATTTGTGGCAACAAATCTGACAAATATAAAAGGAAAAAGCTTCCATCTGTAGCTAGCTAAATAGGTTCTTCTTATAAGAAGATCTTACCCTAACTCTGCTTCTAAGACATTTCACTTGCCCTGCTCTCAGTATCTCTATCTGCAAAAATGGGAGGCTGAGATTATAGTTCCAAGTGTCATAGTTTAAAGAGGGCATGAACAACAAGAAGGACAACAGAGAAAGAACACAGAAGACTTAGAAGAGTCATGATAGCTGTCTTCAAGTAACTGAGGGGCTTTCGTAAAGAAAAGGAATCAGATTTCTGTTTGGCCCCAGAAAACAGAACCAGGAGCCATGGATGACAGTTTAAAGAGGCAAATATCAGGAAAAACAGTCTATTGCTCAGGACTGTCCAGAAGTAGGATGGGCTGTCTCTAGTGGTAGAGGGCTCCCCTACTTTGGCAGTCATTAAACAATCAGGTGCGGTGGTGGAATCAGGAAGGCCTCAGCTCAAATGCTGCCTCAGACACTTAGTAGCTGTATGATTCTGGGCAATTCTCTTAACCTCTTGGGACCTGTCTCCTCATCTTTAAAATTATGGGGTTAAATCTGATGGCCTCTGTTTCCTTTCTAGCTCTAAATCTGTGACTCCACACTACTTTGACCATGCCAGGAATAGTATGGTGGGTATCCCTTCCAGGTATTGGCTGAATTAGATAGTTGCCTTCTGATTCTTAGACTGGTATTTAATTGCTAAAAATCATTTTAATCCCCAGAATCCAAATGATGCCCAACTATCTGAAGAATAAGTTGTTAAATTTGTCTCATATTCCAATGCTGGAGGATTCAAGTCAATGAATATTCACTAGGCCCCTATCATGTTTGCTCCTCGGTCCTCCCCACCAATGATTATTTAATCTCAAGTGAATTTCCAATTATTCACAATCAATTAGCCTACTATTTAGTGATTTATCTTTCGGTTCTATGGCAGAAGATGCTGAACACTCACTAGATGAGAGCGCCCTCTGGTGGTTCAACTGACATTGATCTTTAAGAATGAAACTGACTTCATTTGCATCTCATTTTGCCAAGGGAACTCTCATTCAAGAAAAAGCCATGTGAGTGTGTGCCCACTATGAGGTGCGTCCGGAGATTTATAGACAGCTATTAGCCTGAAATAAGACTAAACATTCCTTTTCGGCCAAAAGGAAATGAAATTTTTAAGTATGTATGGCAACTGTTTGACCAAGACACACCAACAGCTCAAATTTTCTAGAGATTTAAAGTTAACATAGAGGTTTCCTTAAAACAAGTCTGTAGGTAACTACTGCTCCCATACGTTAAACTGAAGGAAACCAAAGCACAAAGAAATTGCTTTTTACCCAAGGTCATATTAATGGGGATGGGATCTGAATTCCTAAAAGTAAAAGACTGAGTGGGATGTCCCTATGAAGACTTCTCAGTGTAATTAGGATTTGGGATAAGACTATATTGAATTTGGAGATAAGTTCAGGAGGCAAGATAGGGTTAAGTATAGATTTCTATAATTCCCCTTTTCTCTCAGTGTTACATCAGCAGTTAAAGATAACCAAGCCTGAAACTCTTGGAACACCCCCCCCCCATATTTTGTTGTTACACCTGTTGCTGTATTTCAGTCATGGTGACTTTGCTGGCACAGCACAACGTCCAGCTTGACTGCACATTTTTAACTGCTTCTTTGATATTACTTCAGCAAACTAGGAAATATGGATATGTACATTGTTCTTTGTTTTGTTTTCAGTTTCTGTGGTAGAGTTTCAGGTTGAGATTGTGAGCCAACTAGTGGACAGTTGGTGGGGGTGGGGGGTGGGGGCTTTACCCTTTAGGGTTATTTAATCTGGTTCTTTGTTTCTGTAGTCTGTCTCCTTTCATCAGATCATACTAGTGGAGGGATACCCGAATCTCGAGATTTGAAATAATAATAAACTTTCAACTTTCTTTTTCTACCTTGAGATGCCTCTCAATTTTTTTTAATTTAAGTGGCATCCCACACAAAACCATGTATTTGGGATCTGGACCCCAAAAAGGAAAAGCCCTGGACTTTCCCACACGGCTAAATCTCTGGTGTTTGCCTGAGGCTATAATCCACTCAACTGACCTTTCATTGTGGCTATGCTCAATCTCCCAACTCTGTTCTGTAACCTCTGGGCTGCCCCTGGCCACTTCCCACCCTTAATCCTATCTAGACTCCATCGTCGCTAGGCCACATGGTCTGTTACCTCACAGTCACCCCAGTTTACTGGCTGCTCCCATCCAGATCCTCTTTAAACTCCTCCTCTAGGCACCCCAAACTACTTGGCTACTCCTAGATGCCGCCCACAGTTTTTCCGTATATAAGGTCCAGCTGGCCTCCATTAAGGTGGTCAGATTCTTATAATCTATCCAAGGGCTCAGATTCTTAAGATCTAGCCCATTTAAATTAGTGATACAAATGCTTAGATTCCTTAAGAGTGGATCTTTAATAAACTTTGTCTTTGGCTGAAAGAAAGCTTGGGTTGAATTCATTTAGACAGGACCCGCATGTAGTGATTTTGGGGTCCCAGTACCCCCAAACTTCAGCAGCATTTCTCCTAGCAAATGATTCAAATATCAAATTTGTTTTGGAAACCTGCAAGGTCACTAGCTTTTTTCTTTAGTTTAAAAAAACATAGATGTATTTGATTGATATAACAAAAAAAAATCAACCAGGTTGGGTTTTTTTTGACACTTTTATTGACAACCAACTAGAGCAGTGATATAACATTTTCTTTGTTATTCTTGATCACAGCCTCGGCCTTTAATCACCACATATTTGTTAACCGCCTATGACTTGCAAGCCTTTCAAAGGCTACAGCTTTCTTATTCAAACTAGGCATAAAGTATGGTTTCAGTAAGTACTGCTCCCATCTAGATCTAAATATACCTGCCCACAAACCTAATTTTCCTTTTCCCATTAAAAACTTTTCATTTCAGTTTTCTTTCAGCCTTTGCTGAGTTTAAATGTTGACATTTTTCTGTCTCTTTGAAAGACTGGTTATCTCCCCAATAGAAATGCTGGAAAGAGTATATGTTAACAAGCCCTTCCTGACTAGTGAAGACAAATGAGGTTGTAATTTTACATTTTCATAAAAAAGGCAGTGAGAATATTATGTTCTAACCAGAGTTAAAGAAAACACTGTGATTCTCTACACATTTTCTTAAACCAGAAAAACGTTATAATGGGAGGGGGAGTCAAATCCCTTTCCAGAAAAAAACAATTTCAGCTGTTACTGGTTGTTTTTTTTTTAATAAATATCAGCAAAGACATTAGCTCAGTGAAGCAATCACCTTTTCAATACTTAGATAAACAAGAAAGTTGATTTGTGACTTTCATACTATACTTTATGAGTTATTTTCAAAGGCAAGATAAGATCTTTTGATGAAGAATAGCCATTCCCCATTTTAAAATTTTTTTTTCTGTGTTTATATCATTATCATAATAAGACTGAGCTGTGACACCTTATAAAGTGCAGTAGAATATGGCAAGTGGGAATTAACTCAATCAGGCAGCTTGAAACCAGAATCTCAAGTCTGTAGATTATTTGATATATGAACAAAAACATAATCAAAAATCTAGAAAAAAATTTTATTAAAATTTCCTCATATAACATCAGGAAACACTTATTTCATTTCTTCAAGTAGTGAGATAAACAAAGATGACATTTTCTCTGACAGTAAATGATGACTATATTAGTGTCTCAAAATCATCTCTCTTTGGGAGGATTGAGTTTTCTGCGCCGCTGATGATACCTTGAAAAGAAGAAAAAAATATCCTGGTAAAGATGTATTATTTTGGATTGGCTATCTAATAAAATTTAGATTTGTTTGCTGTGGCACAGTCTCTTTTATACACACATATATGTATGTATGCATATACATGTGTATGTTTGTGTATATATGTACACGCATACATGTGTCTGTATAAATATATATAGACACATATATAGATCAGTAAAACTTAATGATTTGTGTGTGTGTGTGTGTGTCCAGATAATAAATATGCCCCACTACCCAAGTTAGTGTAGCACTGTTATTATCTAAAGATAGGAATTCTGGGAAAATGCATTCCCTTCTAGGGGGTCACTAAGCCAGGAAGAACCCCAAGTGCTGGAGGGCCTTCCTCACTCGATCCTGCCGTCCCAAGGATACCAATGGAGCACACCCTGCCCTCACCATGCAGCCAGTCCATCTCCTAGCACCTTGCATCTCCCTGACGATGTTTTATCTTCCTCCTCTTCCACGTTCCTCACTGATCACACACTGCGGCCTGCTCACGGCCGCCATGTCGGGGCACCCCCACTGTCCTCTGGGTGACGTTCATTCTCAGTTCTTTGGTCTTACTGTGTTCCGTGTCTTGTAGCCACGCAACACTGGCAGAATCTTTTAAGAAACAGGTTTCTGTTTCCAGGAGAAACTTGGGGCTCTCAAAAGAGGCCTGCAACTCCCTAATAGCAATCCAGCCTGCTCTCCTCTTCCTCCTCCTCTTTAATTCTGGGCCCAGTTGGTAACCTCTCTGTACAGTCTACTCCAAATACATAGAGTGAAGGGCAAGCTCTACAGGCTGTCCATCCAACTGCACTCAAGCCAGACAATGGATGTCTCGAGTGGTTACATGCCTCTTCCATGAGGCCCAACAATGTTTGATGCAAACAGAACGATGTCACCTGAAAACAGGAGCAAATGGAGGCCCTCACCACCCATAAGAAATCCCTCTTCAACTTGGGCTCTATGTTGGATCTCCTCTGCCACAAAGCCAAACACTGAGAAAGGAGGCACCCCTGCTTTATGCTTCACATGGCGTTTCTGACCAGAGGTATCAATAGGGAGGGTTATTTCTGTTGTGATATCTTTCAAGTAATAATCTTGAATGGTTCTGGCAAATGAATGAGAGGTACCTTGTTGGAAGACAGACTTGCCTACCAAAACAAATGCTTTTCCATAACTGATGAACAGTAAGCACAGTAGAACTTATTTTCTGGACACCTTTCAGTCAACAGTACAAGGTAAAAGTGGTCCATTTGTGACTTTCCTGATATGTATCATGTCCTCTGTAGAACATCCATTGCAAAAATCCTGCTAACCCTACTGATGACCTTCCCTCATCAAGGCTGCCCTTGATGAAATGAGGATGACCCTCACAAAGATTTTCAAGAGACCACAAAGCAGGCACATAGGCCCATGGCTTGCTGATGTTGTCAGGGTCACCTTTTTTTTCCAGAATAAAACTGAGCTTTTTCTCAACAGCTCCCACATCCGCTACACTTTCTTTATTTTGTAAGCCACCCCCCAACAATTCTGTCGTCTCCTCTCTATAAAGTCCTGATCCAACCCAGCTGTTTTTCCTGTCTTTCTTCTCTTTCTGCCCCCTCTAAAAGAGCACTGAGGCTGTGACGTCAGGTCCCAAATGTGACAGCTCTATTATCCTAGCAGACAGAAACATCTGTTGTAAAAATTTTTCTGAATCTTTCCCATTTTTCTTATTTATTGTCCTCTTATTTTCCGCCTAAATGTCCTCAAGATCACTTTGCTTAGCTGGATTTCTTACTGAGTTTTGTTTAACAGCTCATGCTACCCTTCATTGCTTTTCTCTGCTCTTAGGCATTACATCAGCCACCTTGGTAAGGTTTTATGCAAACAAGTACACAGATTAGATTAGTCTTGCTTTTAGCCATCATTTCTGTCTGCTCAGTGAGTGAGTCAAGTGACTGCTATCTAGATTTCTTTCTAGGGTCTTCTGGTATACTTGTGATGGTAAACTGGTTTATACTGATAAAACTTTGCAATTTTTTTTTTTGCCATCCATTACCCAGAACTGATTTTAACAATTCGTGACCAAGTTGTTTCCGGTGTATGGCGTATCTTTTTCTCATTATTCTTCTAGCACATTACTCACTCTGATTTTCACTCTGACGAGTCAGTGGTACGAATATAAACATGGTCAAGTTGACAAGGAATTATTAAGAACAAAAGTATCATACAGGAAGTCCAGGAAAGCCAGGAGTGTATCCTGGAGAAGAATGAATACATGGCTAGCCTTGGCCTGTGTTCCTTAAAATGGAGGCTCTGGAAGGAACCAGCCAATCAGAGGAAAAGGAGTGAGGGACACTTTCAACATGTGAAGTGTAGGAGTTGTGAGCTTCCAGGGGGGAGAGTTTTTGGAGGCATGGTAGAGGAAGAGCTGGAGAGAAGACTTCGGGAAGAAGATGGCACCTGGGCTGGGCCTTGAAGGAAGATAAGGCTTCTAAAAGACTAAGATGAGGAGGCAACCCATCCAGGGCAAGGAGGATGGCTTGGGCCGAGCAGACTGTGGCGAGAGATGGACAGTCAAGAACAGGAATCATCAGAGTATAAGTTCACGAAAGTGGCACAGAAGAAAGCAGGGGGGACCTCACCCCTGAGAGGCACGGGAGAAGGACAGTGGTGACGCAGGAGCTCAGCAGCTCAGTGACACGCATGGTTCAGTCAAATACTCATTCACTGCCCCACGAGCAAGGCACGTGGTGTAAAGTGCTACGAGTAACACACAACCACATCTTCTGGTCTAGCATCACTAGAACTCCATGCAAACATAGAGTAGTGGTTAAGCAACACCAAAAGGCCCAAACAAAAAATCTCACACTGTAAAAGTCCTATGGTCAAACTGATTATGACTTACAAACATATGAACACAAACAATGAAAAAGAACAAGATTTAGTTTTCTGGACTTAGGCTATGAGAACACTGGGCTCCTGGCCAGAGTTTGAATAAATCTCCCAAGGACATGGAGTAAATTTGGCTGGAAAAGGAAGAATCTAATCAAGAGGGCTTTATGATGAAAATGGAGAGGGAAGAGGGAAAAGATAAACCCCAAAGACAACTTAAATGGGACACTTTACTACAGAGGAATACAAACATGACACTGGGGAAAAAATAGTGAATGAAGACCTAGTAATTAAGAGGAGCAAATAACCCTGGAACAGAGAACAGTATTTTGGCCTCATCTTCTTACAAATGCTCAGCACATGGGATGTTAACTCAAGCGGGGAGGCAGCTGAAACAGACCAAGCCAGAGAGGGCCCAGGGCTGGACAAAGGACTTGGCGATGTCAGCATTAAAGGAAGGGACAAGTATGAAATGAGGTCTGAAGAAAGGACGAGCAGGCTCTCTTAAGACTTCGTATGAGAACAGGGAGGACATGATTTTGTGACAGTAAGGAGTTTTACAAAACCAAAGTCTTTCTAGGTTCCTTACTTAAGGGGAAGGCAAGTCAGCAGCATAAGCTGTGTAGAAAGAGACTAGAAAGGGAGAGATTTCTAGAAGGGAAGACGTTACGTTTGTCATGCTGAAGCTGATAACTCGATTCAATTTAAGAAACACTTCTCAAGAGCCTACTTTAGGCGCTTTGCTAAATATTGGGGATACAATGAGTAAAACAACATAGTCCCTGCCCTCCAGGAGCTCACGCTGTCCTAGGGGACACAATGCTTATATACAAATAAATACAAGGAAAACCAAGAAGGAAGGTCATCCTAACAACAGGGATCGGGGAGGGCTTCCCAGAAGGTGGCAGGCCTTAGCTGCACTTTTGAAGCAGCAATATTTCCCAGAGCCCTACCCCATACAGGCTAGGAGAGTTTCCTTTAAGAGTACTGAAACCATCCCTAAAACTTAACTGGCCAAGAGGATCAAGATTTAAACCTTTATCTTAGCTTTAGCTTCCTGATGGCCTAAGTATGAAAGCCAGCCCACAAGGACTCCGGAGTTCTTGCCTCCTTGCCTTGGCCTTCTGACCAGCACACCCAGAAGCAGGGAAGCTACCCACAGGAATCGATGCTGTAGCCTTGCTGAGTATCCTTTCCATGCTATGGCTTAATAAACTTTCTTCTGTTAACATTAAATTGATCTAAAGCAGTGGTGTCAAGCCCAAATAGAAAGGGATCCCTGCAGGCTGCATACTGACTCAGAAAACCACAAGTTAACATCATCTAGGTTGTACCGTATTCTTATTTATTTTGCTAAACACTTTCAATTACAATTAATCCAGGTTCAGGCAACACTAGAGTTTTGTGGCCTCTTGCAGCCTGGCCTCAAATTTGACACCTCCGATCTACAATGATTTCATTTCATTCCAATTCTAACCCTGAAGCACCAGACAGACCAGTCTGAATAAGGCCTAGTTTACATCAAGGAACATTCTGGGAGGCAGAGAGGAGTGGGCAGTGCATATGGGCATGGGTAGTGCCTTGTGCAAAGACATGAAGGCAAGAGATGGCATATCAAGTGATGGGAACAGCTGATAGTATGGTCTGGCCAGAGTACAACATGGGAGTAGTATCAAATAAGGCTGAGAGGTTGGCAGGAGCCTTAATATATCAAGCAAAAGAGTTCATTGTATTTCCTACAGAAAGAGGTATTTGCAATTTGACTGGAAAAAAAAAAAGAAAAAATAGTGGAGAGATAAATAAGCATGTGATCAGTCAATAGATATTTCCAGCTATGAGCCTGAGTTTCACCAGGCCATGGGATACAACCAGAAAACTAGGCTCATATCTGAGTCCTGAAGAATCTCTATCATTAGGAAGTGTTAGGGGGAAAGTGTCTTTTAAGGAACTTTTTAAAGAAAACTTCTCAAAAATGTAAAAGATGAAACCTAGTTATGGCCAGCACCTGTAAAGCAAGGTCAGACAGAGTGCCAGGAAGCAATGTAATCAAATTGAGTATTAGCAAACATGACAGCAATTCAGATACTGCAGCTCTATGTTTTCTAACATGTGTAAAGTCTTGTTTTCTACATTCATCCAATTCCTTCCATTTCTTAGTGTATTCTTGAGTTCAAATCCAGCCTCAGACACTTACTACCTATGTCACCCTGGGCAAGTCACTTAACCCTGTTTGCCTCGGTTTCCTCATCTGTAAAATGAGCTGGAGAAGGAAACGGCAAACCACTCCAGTATCTTTGCCAAAAAAACCCCAAATGGGGTCACGAAGAGTCAGACAGGACTGAAACAACTGAACAACAGCAGCTATCAATAAACTTCAATGCTTTCAACTATTTATCCTTCATAGGAGATACCATAATTACTTTTTTTTTAATCAAAGGCATTACACCTGAAAGATACAATCTAGGCTTATATTCCAAAGACCTATGGAAGATTTCCCCCAAAAGACATTATTCTCTCCTAGGGGACATAATGCTTATATACAAATAAATACAAGGAAAACCAAGAAGGAAGGTCATCCTAACAACAGGGATCAGGGAATCAATTCTCCATCCATCCCTGAATCCTCCCCAAGTCCAAAGCTCGCTGTCTACAGGATGCCGAAAACTAAACATCATCTCACTATGACTGTATAAATCATTCACTAGTGAAATGAATGAAAATCAAAATACTAAATGAACATCTCACAGAATTTTAAAAAAAGAATAATCCTCTTCAACCTCAAGGACTCTTGCCATTACAAGCTCTGACGAGATTCCATTATAAAATTAAGAAAAATGTTGTCCTGACATTTAGCTTCAGTTATCACGTGTAGGCTAGAACTTAAAATTAACGTGTGGGATGCTGAGATTACCCCCAGTTTGCTAGAGCTTGTCCCAAATCCCCAATCAAGGAGTTCTCCACTCATAGACCACCAATATCAGAGTTAATGGGATGTGTGTTCTCCACAGCTCCTCATTCTCACTCACCCATGAGCCAGATCTCGCCTTCTCTCTCTCCACAACACCTCTCTCATCCGTCCCCGGTTGTCCACTCTCATGGCAGCCACCCCACATCTGGATTAATGACACAGCCTCCTGACTGGTCTGCCTGCCTCAAGTCTCACCCCTTCTAATTCAGCCTCCAAAGAGCTGCCAAAGTGACCTTCCTAAAGCACAGGTCTGACCATGTCATTCTACTAGTCACCAAGTTCCAGGGAAAGCTTGTTTTCCTCGAGGATCACATACAAATTTGTCGGTTTGGTATTTAAAGGTCCTCACCACCTGGACCCAATCTACCCTTCCAGCCTCATTATAAATTCCTGCTGCTTCTCCTGATCTCCAGGTCTGCCTGGCCTTCCTTCTGCTCTTCACACAAGATACCCCATCACAGGCTGCCCCGACCACACATTCCATCTCATCTTCATTTCTGAGACCCCCTGGTTTCCTTCAAAGCTCAGCTCAAAAACTATCTTCTACGTGAAACACCTCCCATTCTCCCTACCAGCCAGTGCCTTGACCTCCAAACTCTTGCCAAAAGAAAGGCCTCATATTGATTTAATTATTTTATATATACTTATACATGTTGTCATCCCTCCCACGCAACGTAAGCAACCTGAAGTCAGAGTCTAGTTCATTTGTGTGTACCCACAGCACACGGCAGAGTGCCTGGTGCACAGTAGGCACTTAATAAATGCGTGCTGATTATTAGCATATCTCACTAGAACTATATCAGTACTACCTCGATTTTCTCAAGTGAAAGAACACCACTTTAGGAAAATAATCTTTTAGGTTGTAAAATATTAACACAATAACTCCCGAGCATCATTCTTTAGTTCATCTAGATATTAAGGGAGTAGCTGTGTTTTGTTTTGTCTTTTAAAGAAAATACTCACTGTCCATAAGGGTACCAGCGTGCTTGGTGGTGAAGAATAGTTCACTCAGCTCTTCTATCATGGGTCCTTGCTCAGCAGTGCCACCGTCGGCTTTTAATCTGGCTTTCAGCATTTGGTCATGTGTCTCTGCTTGGTTATCCACAGGATCTGGTCTAATTATGGGCTGCAAAATATGAGCTCACCATAAGAGAAATGCCAGCCATTATTTAATAACTTTTTTTATTTAATAATTTCTATAGTTAACTTGTTAATTCACTAGGTCATAGTGTTTAAGTGGTAAAGGTTATTTTCCTGATAAAGCAGGGAGCACAAAGTTTTAGGATATACCTAATTTCTCAAAGACTCAGGAAAATTTTTCCTTTTCATACCACTATCTATTTGTTGAATTTTTTTCAAATGAAAAAATCCTTATTGACTTAATTTATACTTACTAAGGATGACCATTAGTTGTTTAGTCAAAGGCAAAAATTCTCACTGAGATATAAGACTCAATACCAATCTTTCATAAACACAATCTCTTCACTGTTGGTAATATCGAAAGAGGCGTTACGTGGCACAGTGGATAGAACACTGGGCCTGCAGTCAGGAAGACCTGAGTTTAAATTGAGCTCCAGATACTTACTAGCTGGCAAGTCATCTAACCCTGTTTGCCTCGGTTTCCTCATCTGTAAAATGAGCTGGAGAAGGAAACGGCAAACCACTCCAGTATCTTTGCCAAAAAAACCCCAAATGGGGTCACGAAGAGTCAGACAGGACTGAAACAACTGAAAAACAGCAGTATCAATAAACTTCAATGCTTTCAACTATTTATCCCTCATAGGAGATATCATAATTACTATTTTTTTTTAAATCAAAGGTATTACACCTGAAAGATACAATCTAGGCTTATGCAAGACCTATGGAAGATTTCCCCCAAAAGACATTATTCCCCTACTAGGAAAAATGATCATTTGTATGTAAAGCATAAAATGATAATGTAGATGAAAATCATCACAAAATAGGTTTGGAAAAGTGTTTTAAGAAAAGCCAGATACACTCTGATACAATAAAAAATGACCATGAAAATGTGGCACAGTTTCTCTTGAATTTAAAACTACCTGAATTACAATAGAATTCTTAACTTTAATTTGTTTGCCCACAAAGTCCTTAAATGGCAGGTTAACAACATACAGTAACTGGGCTCATTGCTACTGGGCCTACAGGACACAAGATCACCATCTAGTTAAGGAAGGCCTGTACAACATTGGGCCCACAGGCCGCTTTCAGCCAGTGAAAGGATATTGGGCAGCCCGCTAAAAACATAGGGATGTGAGAAAGGTCTGCACAACATACTGCCTGCAGGCCATACGTCCTGCAAGTCTGAGTTACAGAATTAAGAGAAATATACATCTTCAGTTCTTCATTTCACTTCATCAAAGGGAGGATACCCAGGCAGCAATTCCCTCTAATTTAGAAAAAGGCCTTGGAGCTGCTGTGGCAGAATAACTTATCGCCCTGCAACCAACCTCGTGATGAGCCTTGACAGACATAGCCAGGCTGGTCCTCAAAAAACACATGTGCTGTCAAGCCCTTCCGACTCAACAGAATTCCGCCCCAAGTGGCCCTCCGAGGCCAGAGGCTTTAAGGACCCAGTGCCTCCTTGAGACCCCAAGGAGACACAAGACAAACAGAGGGGAGAACAAGGCAAGCAGATCCACGATGAGGGGTGGAGAGTGTGTGATAAAGACAAATGAAGGAAAGGCCAGCGGGAGGGGAAGAGCTGGTCAGGCAAGGCTTCTTCACAAGTGCTGTCCTGAATCCGAAGGACAAGGTGTGGATCACCAGAAAGGGCAGGTGGCCTCTTACGTGAGAGTAACTACAATGAGAGAAAGCAGAAAAGAGGCAGGTGGCCCCAGGAATCACCAGGAGGCTGGTGGGAAGAGACGCTGGACCTGACGGCTGTAGGACAACGCCTTTGTGCCTGGCAGGACGCGGCTTTCAGACTCCGTCCTGAGGCTCTGAACAGACTGGCAGCCAGGGCTCTTTAACAGAGACACCGCAGCAAACATCCATCCATCTCCTTGCTAAGGTGTGATGGAGCTCAGGGGTGCTGGGCCGGACCCTGCAGGGGCTCGCTTCCAGATGCGAGGAAAACTTGACTAAGAGCTTCAAAGGGCCAATGCACCTCAAAAATTAACATTTTTCTCCCTATTCAGCAGGAGGATTGGCCCAACATAAAACAAATCTCCCTAACTGTAAGAAGATGGAAAATGCTTTTATTTTTAAATAAAGATAAAAACACTGTGATGAATGATTTGTTTAAAGTCACACGATGAGCCTCTGGCATACTCAGAAATAGAACCATTATCTGATTCTCAGTCACTGTCTGATCTACTTGGCTGGACCTCAAAGAGAGAACATGTGAAAAATTCTAGTAAAAGAGGAAAAAGGGGGGAAGGAAGGAAAACAAGCATTTATATGGTGCCTGCTATGTGCCAAACACTGGACTATTTTTTTTTTACAAATGCTATTTTATAATTGTTTTTTAATTTTTAAAAATTTTACAATAATTTTTAAACAAATATTATTGCAATTTGATCCTCACAACAATCCTGGGAGGTAGATGCTATCAGTATCCCCATTTCACAGCTGAAGAAACTAAGGCAAACCGAGGTTAAGTGATTTGCCCAGGGGTGCACAGCTAGTATGTCTCTGAGGCTCAAGTCCTCCTGACTCCAGGACAACTGCTCTAGCCACTGTACCACCCAGCTGCTCCTAAAACAGAGCAAGGCTGAATGTTGGCCTTTAAAAAACTAATTCTGAAGTTTTTTCTTTTCTTTTGTTTTCTTTTTAGGCAACTGGGGTTAAGTGACTTGCCCAAGGTCACACAGCTAGTAAGTGTCAAGTGTCTGGTCTGAGGCCGAATTTGAACTCAGGTCCTCCTGACTTCAGGGCCAGTGCTCTATCCACTGCGCCACCCAGCTGCCCCCTGAAGTTTTTTATTTTCAAAAAAATGTTCTACGTTCAAATCCATGGTACATAATTACGCTGATCTAATAACTAAGATAGCCAACTCTTTCTTTTTCAGTTACTTACTAACTGTCCCCAGACTAAGTTTCATTTTCCTAAAATATCAGAACTGGAAAAAGCTTTTTGAGCATCCACGTGGCCAAAGGCACTCTAGCTGACTTAAAGAAACACACTGGGAGTACAGTCTGAGGTGGCTTATCTGAATGAAAACATGTGGATTAATCAATATTTTTTCAACTATGATTTATTGGTGGTTAAGTGAACATCACAGATTTATCAGAAGATTGATGGATGAAAATAATGTTTACTCTAATAAAATCAATGTGCATTTATCTCCCCTCTGTTCACCAGGGTTCAAGCTTGGGGGCAGGGGCAGGGGGAGGGGAGGGAGGAAGGGGAAAAGGCAGGATGATTTAGGATCTATGTTTTGGGACACCGAGATTCAAAAGGGGTCTAGTCTGCAAATACTGGTATAAACGCGAGGGGGAGAGAAGCCTAAAGTTAAACTAATTAAACTGACAGGCGAGATTGTTTGAAAAGGTTCTGAACCCACAGGGACCCCTTATGAAGCTTATCAGGAGCACAAGACCCTGCCTTTGCAGAAAACCCACCTCAGGCCTGTAGCTGGACAAAGGAATTTACACTCTGCTTCCTGCTTACCTCCAGCACCTCCAGCTCCTGCAATGAGGGCTCCCGGGGCACGACACGCCCTGCCACCTCTGCGGACTCCTCACGCACTTCTGGGTCTCCCACTGCACTCTTCTTTCCCACCTCCACACCTTTGCCTTCCGTTTAGCATGTCCTACCCCGCTTACTTGGTGAGTTCCTAATTTCCTTCAAAGTCCATGCTAACGCGACCTCTTGCACAGACCCTCCAAGATCTCCAGGAGTGACAAGCCCCCCTCAGACTCATGGAGCATTGACTTCACAAAGCCTTTCCATTTCTGCCATTTCTGCCTCTCTTCTCTACTTGGCTTTTCTTTCCCATCTATCTACAAACTTGCTCCAGATGCCTCCCACGCTGGAAGACCCTCTCCTCAGGCCTGGTGGCAAGTCAAGCTATTGTCTCCCCTTTGGGATAAGCTTCCACAAAGTCCTCGCTGCCTGCCTCCACGTCCTCACCTATCACCCCTCAAACCCTTTCAATTCAGCTTTAACCTCACCAGCTCCATTGAACTGCTCTCTCCAGGTCCTAAACAGTCTGTCACGCGTCCAGTCCATGGCCTTCCACCATCCCTATGCACCTTAACCCTTCTGCAACACAAGCTGCATCCTATCTGACACAGGCGATACCCCCCCACTACTGCATTCTCCCTCTGTTCCCTCAGAGTCCACCAAACTACTCCCTCTTGAATACGCTGTCTAGGTGTGCCTTCGGGGTCTCCTTCGATGGTCTTCTTCCCACCCCGTGATACCTGAGCACAGATGCTCCTCAATGCTTTCCATCCCTGGCTTTCTTTTCTTCCTGTCTCAGAGATGGCTCTCCTCCAAGTCCACACTTTCAATAATCACCTCTGAACAGACAGTTCCCAAATCCCTGTCTCACCCTGAGCTCTGGTCACCCAACTGCCTGCTGGACCCTGGAGTCAGAAAAGCAGGGTCAGCCTCCTGGCTCTGGGCCAGTCAAAGCATCTCTGTGTCTCAGTTCTGTCCTCTGTAAAATGAGTGTCCTGCATGAAAACATCTCTACAATCCCGTGGACCTGCAGATCTCATTATCCACATTCCTAGGAGCCCACCCACCTCTGGCCCTCCTCTCCAATCTGTCTTGCACCCACCACCACACTCACCATCATTTCAGTCCCCAACTCAAAACCTGCCACCTTTGACTTTTCCCTCCCCCTCACTCCCCACATCCAATCAGATGCGAAATCCTCTTGATTCCTTTGGTACCCAATCCCTTCCTCCAACTGACCCTTCTCATACCTGATTCTGCGCTCCATGGGGCACGGAGGTGACCCTGGGTTCTTAAAGGCCATCCCAGCAGGGGACGGGTTCTAACAGGACCCATGAAGCAGGTAAGTCTCCAAGTATGCTGCCAGTAATGGGCTATCTATATAGATGTCATGCAAGTATGAACCCAGCTTAGGTCAGAGACATCACCAGGCAAATATTCTGGTTCTGGAAACTCATAAAAAGCTGTCTACAAAGGCATGGAGAACAGCAGTCTGTGTCTGTGGAGCACCCACATGAACAAAATCTTGGATCCTTTGTTCTGAAACACAGGTCTGATGAGTAAGTCACTCCCCTCCTCAAAAATACTCAATAACTTACAGCCTAAAGGCTCAAATTCAAACTCCTTAAACTGCCATCTGGCTCCACCCTAATCCTCCTGTCTAGTTGCGCTGGTCCACACTGCACACTATATTCCAACCACACTCTACCACTGGCCCCACCTCACAAGCTCAGATGCCTCCTGCTTTGGTCTTCCAGGATCCCCAGCTGGAAACTGTTCTCTCCTGCTCAAACCTCAGACAGGTCTTTCTGGGCATCTCTTCTTTTCTCTTACTGTGCTCTACCTCATATCACGCCTCTGTAAGTACATGTCATAGCCTCAGTGGTGAGGGACTGGGCTCTCAGAGGTGAGGGACTGTTTTTCATATTTTAATTTCAGGGCCTAGCACAGTGCTTTGCATAGAAAAGGCACTTAAGAAAGATCTAATTTCTGATAACCATATAACATTGTGTATTGTCATTTTTGAGGTCCGTGTCAGCTCCCTGTTAGACTATAAATTTCAAAAGAGTGGAAATTGTCACATAAACTTTTTGACTTTCCTATGCCTTGACAGAGCTCTCTACAGAACAGGCCCAAACACATTCCTAAAATATGGCGGCCAACACATGACAAAATACTGCAGATGCGGCATGATGAAGGGAGTCCACAGTGGAACGATAGCAACGCCTCCATTCTCAAGAGTGCGTTTTCACGAGTGCCACCTGAAATCTCACTAGCTGCTGGCAACATCACCCTGTGGCCTCACGTCTGACAGAAGTAATGCACTAAAAGAAAGGTCAGCTGAAAGCAGAGTACCCTGCCTTCCCCTCCCTCATTCATGCTGCTCCCTGCCTATTTGCTTTCTTCCATCACAATAAGATATGATTTTACGGTGATTCAAAGAGTAAGAAACGCAGACCTACTTTGGTGTGCTCATAAGGAACGTCCACAGAAGGATGGTAACAGACGATTGTTCTGCCGTCTGATGACAACGCGAGTTCCACCTTACTATAAAAGAAAAGCATTTTACTGTATATGGGACATAATGGATCTGTGTTGTAAGATTAGAAGCAATTAATCTAAAATTACTTGATGAGGAAGAAAAATGCTAAATGAGCAGTTAGCCCACTGGCCCACGTGAAAGGGGGCAACACTCTGGGCCATGTCTATGCAACCACCCTGAGATCCATGACTACCTAAACTGGCCCAAAATCCATTTGCATCTTCATTCTGCTTATCTTTAAAATGTTTATATTTCTAGATGTACCACCTAGTGGGAAAGAATACCACTAAGTACTAGCCACGGTACAAACTTCCTTTATTTGTCCCAAACCTACTTCTGACAATTTCCAAGAGGTCGCTCCTCATTCTAGCCATCTGTGATTTGGTGAAAGACTGTGCTCACCTTCTCCACACCCTCCATGACTCTACGGACTTTGTCCTCCTTTCTCAGGTAGGGTGAGCAGAGCTCATTTTTTAGTGTATTCTCCTAATGGAGTCATTCCCATCCCCTAGCATCCTTCTCTGGACTTGCTCTAGCTTCATTCTCTCTTTCTTGAGGTCTGGTGACCAGAAATGCACACAACATCCTAGGCACAAAATCACTTAATTCCTCATCCTATGAAAAACAAATGACCAACATCTTTCTCCTATCTCATAGTTCTTCCAAGAGCAGCTTCCAGGCCTCTAGGCACATAAAATGTATTCTAAAAAAGCATAATTTTCACAGCTACCAATGTCTTCTTTAGATAACCTGCCACATTTTAGCTCCAAGGGCTTTGACTCCAATCACGGAAGAAACCCGTGTGGCTATGAATTAACATGAAAAACTAAATGCTAAAAAAAGTTATTTTAGCCAACTGAAGACTACCAAAATGAGCTATGCTGTCAGAATGTCTTACCACCATTTCAGGACAGAATACTCCAAAATGTTGATAACATAAACATTAATTTTGGTAAAAAATGTTTAGTGAATTGCACTGAAGCACCTTTTGACTTCAGAGAGTTATGTACTTACTAGAAAGGCACTGGAAGAGTGGAAAGAGGACCAAATTTGGAGTCAGAGGACCTGGATTTATAATCTCAGTCTCCCTGACAGACCGTGATTGTGTGCGAGACTGGGAAAGTAAATCACTCTTTTCATACCCTTTTTCCCATCCGTGAAAAACAGGCACTTACGGCTCCCCTGTCCAGCTCTAAACATAGTATTCTCAAATGTTCAAAAAAAAAAATTCATAAGAAAACCTGAATATGGTCAAAAATAAATGAGTTTTTGAATATTAACCCCAATTCACATTTTTTAATGGAGTACAGTTAGTATTCCTACTAAAACAATCACAAAGGTGATCTATTTTTGACATGTATTAAAATAAAATGCTTAATAAAGTATGTATTTTAGTTTCTAAACATTATACATTTATTAACTGTTCAAAATCAAATAATAGTTTGAGTGGCTATTTTTATCTACTAGACATGAACTAAAATTGGAAAATTAATTCTTTTCCAAAGCTACAATACTGTCACAAAAAGAATAAAGAGGATTTCTGGCAGTGCATTTATGTCTCACAAGAAAAAGAGCATTCAGTAAAATACAATGGCAGTAATTTTTTATTAACAAATGCTTGTAAACATAGGCTTGTTCAAAAACCACTGTAATCATTATTGAAAAAAGATAACAACAGAACAAAACGCAAGAAAGAAAGCAGCAGACACCAAAACAAGTAACTAAATTAAGTTGTTTCTAAGATTACATCTAAGGCACAAACAGAAATTAAGGTCTTGCTCCTGTTTCATATGGATCATCATACATACCAATTGTAGTCCTCTGGAAGAGGTGTGTACGTCGACTTATGACAAATGCAACCTAGAGCTCCTCCTGGAAAGACCCCAAACAATGAAGACAGAGTTAATCAGCAGCAGCATGTGCTTGGGCTACAAGGACATTTAAACTTCACACTTAAACAGACTTGTGAAACCAAGGACAGGGGTGCTCCTTCTCCTAATCCAGACCGCTACCCTAGGCACATTTCCCCATCCTCTGTAGCTCACTCATGTCCTCTCACTAGCCCTCCAAAGGGCTAGAGACCTTCTGTGTATCTTGTCACTGCATGGATACCTGAGGAACCCCCACACAGTCTATCCCAGGGATAATACGGAGAGATGTCATCTCTTATTCTGACTGCATAGATTTGGGGGGGGGGGAGTGGAAGGCAGTCAGGGTTAAGTGACTTGCTCAGGGTCACACAGCTAGTAAGTGTCTGAGATCGAATTCGAACTCAGGTCCTCCTGACTTCAGGACCAGTGCTCCATCACTGTGCCACCTAGCTGACCCAATGGCACAGACTTTTCAAAATGATTTTTTTCCTTCATGTAGACCAATCGAAAATGCTTCTTTTCAAAGCATACTCCCATAATACCCACTCACCAACATTATTTTGGACCCTCATTTTTCAACTTGAATCCTTCTAAGGTTATTTTTTTTAACTTCTGAAAAGGCTTTCTTAGAAAAGCTCATCTTTGATATAAAATGAAAACTACAAAATATGATAAATCACTTTTTAAGATAGTCAATTTTAAATATTTACTCAAGTTAATTAATTGTCAACTAGTTAGAACAAGGATAGTAGTGAGACCAAGGAACAATCCCTATAAGGGTCAATTTAACTAGAATACTCCTAATCTGTCCCACACAAGCTAGCACTTAATTCTACGTACATGCACGTTGAATGCTCTTGCGTCACTCATTCACAATTGCTTTTATATATGTTATCTCCCCAACTAAACTGTGAATGTCTTGAAACCAAGGACATTTTCATGGAGTATAACCCTCTTTATCCCACAGTGTTTATGTAAAGGGCCTTTGCACACTAGATCGATACTTGCTATTAATGTTAATTAGCCAAAATTTGCTATTAATTCCTCCCTTGCAATAATTCTCCTGCAGGTGGGACCCACGGATCTAGTCCTGCCCTTCATCTTACAGATGAGGAAAATGAGGCCCAGAGAGATAAAGGGACTTTGCACAGCAGACACTTAACGAACACTGTGGGATAAAGAGGTTTACACTCCCTGGAAAAGTCCTACAGACCATCCCCACACCTCAATGTCCCTGCCCAGCATAGAGTTTACTGGAGATACCCCACTACTCAGCGTAGAGCTCTCTGGTCTCACTCAGCCTTGAGGCAGGAGTGAAGAAGAGGAGGATAGGGGCAGGAAGAGAACAAGGGAAGGAAATCTTAATGCTGTGTTTGCTGACACAGGTCTGGTGTTAGGGTCACCATCAAGCCTTTGAGATGCTATGACCTATTTAGAGTAAAACACGTCAAGTCCAAAAAATTACTTACTCTGAAGTGTCATTTGCCAGCTGGAGGCAGTTGTGTGTGCCAGCACCGCTCTGGAAAAGGCCGCCCGAACTGCTGCCAGGGCCATGGTGTACAGGGTGTAGACAATGTCTGGAAGGCAAAGGGCTTTTTTTTAAACCTTTCTCAAGGTTAAAAGGTTTCTCACGCTTCCCTTTAACACTGCTTAGGAGAAGAAGAAAACAGAGTAGGCTACGTCCATTTAAAATGAGGGGGACCCCTATCTCTTCCGCCTCATTCCAACACCAGTCCAAAGTAACTTTCTCTCTAGTCCATCCCACTCATTTCTGTACCTCTCCACACCTCAGGTCCCATGCAGGTCACTTCACATACGCACATGAGGTCAATGTTTGTTATTAATGGAGTTAGGGAATTCTTCCCTTGCAATAATTCTCCTGCAGGTGGGACCCACTGATTTAGTCCTGCCCTTCATCTTACAGATGAGGAAACTGAGGCCCAAAGAGATAAAGGGACTTTGTCTCCCCATCCCTCTCATGACTGGAATGCACCTTCTCCTTTCCCTGGTTCCTTTCAAAGTTCAGCTCCTAAACGAGGGCTCCTACAAGTGCTTTTCCTGATCTCCCAAATGCTAGTGCTGTCCCCATAGGAGGGAAAAATCATGCGTCAATTTTGTATTGATTTACAGACTGACATGTTTTCTCACCTGATAGAATGTAAGCTCTCTGAGGCCAGGAACTATTTCATTAGGAGCTGAAAACAGAGATACAAAACATGTCATGATTTCCTATACCAGTGAAATCAAAGTTCTAATCAAAGTCAGTATCTAGCTTCTCTCTCTCCTGGTGCCCTCAGCATCTCTCTCTACCAATGGTTCAATGGTCTGTACAACATAAAGCTACTTTCTCTTGCTCTTTATTAATTATAACTATATAGATATGTAAAAGCTATTTATCTATATACAGTATCTATATCAATTTATATTGATTTAGATGTAGGTATAGATAGATCGATATAGAAATCTATATCTATTGATCAAGAGATAGACAGACAAATGGGTAGACAGATATAGTAAGTAGATGGATAGATATAGAAGATAGTAAGAAGACAGAAATAGACAGATATAGATGACAATTAAGTAGACAGACAGATGGTTTGATGGATGGGTAGCTATAAATCGGTAAGTAGATAGGTGAAGATGAAGATAGATATAGACGACAGAGATTTTGCGAGTGTGTGCGTCGTGTGTGTGTGTGTGTGTGTGTGTGTGTGTGTGTAGAAAACACACTTTTAGGTTTACAAAACACTTTACACAGTCTTATTTGAACCCTCACAAGAACCCCTTGAGGTGTATAGTAATAACAACAGGCAACATTCCAAGTTAAGTGACTTTCCCAAGGTCACACTAGTCACTATCTGTTGGGAGGGCCTCGGTACATATCCCACTTCTGATATTCTATTACTAATTCCCTTCACGTCCCCTAGGCTGTGATCCTATGGGTGCTTCACCTTCTCCGGGCCTCAGTTTCCTTATCTGTCAAATGAGCAGGCTGGACTAGGTGACCTCTGAGGTCAAAAGTAACATCAGCAAGCTTAAAACCACATTCTGGGCAGCGTGCTGCAGGGGAAAGAGCTTCAAGGGGATGCTCAGAGGCAGGGCGGCCCAGTAGATGGTGTCCCTCGCTTTCTTGGTGTATAATTGTTTATCTTCTGTCATCCCGTTAGATTGCAAGCTCCTTGAGGGCAGGGGCTTCTCTTTTTCTTTTCTTTTCTGCTTTTAGGCAACTGGGGTTAAGTGACTTGCCTAGGGTCACACAGCTAGTAACTGTCAAATGTTTGGTCTGAGGCCCGGATTAGAACGCAGGTCCTCCAGACTCCAGGGCCGGTGCTCTATCCACTGCACCACCTATCCGCCCCTCTTTTTCTTATTTGTATCCCCAGCGTTTGGCACAGTGCCCTGCACACAGTAGGTGCTTAATCAATGCTGACTGACTGATTGGACAAGTCGGGAAGCCCTGGGTTCGGATCCTCCTCTGACACTCCCCAGACCGGTGACCCTGACCCTGGTCGCGTCACCTGTGTGAGCCTTAGTGTCCTAACCTGTACAAACGGAGGCAGTAACAGCACCCGCCTCTGTGGCCCCGGGCCGGTCCGTGCTTCAGTTTGCTCGCCTGTAAAATGGGGAGGACATAGACCCCCTCCCTCCCCGGAAAGCACCTCGCTCCTATTATTACTGCTGTTGTCATTACTGTGAGTACTCCACCCTCTGCTGCCAACGGAGAAAGCGACAGTTACCTCCAAGGACACCCGCTCGGTCTGTCCTAGCAACTCGCTCCACGTTCCCCGCGGCGCCTCGTGCGCCTGCGCAAGAGCCACTTCCGGTCTCCGCAACGTCACCACGCATTTCCACGCCCGTGGCGCGAGGCGTGCCGGGAAATGTAGTCCGGCCGGAGAAAACGCCCTTAAGGACGTTTGCATTTCCAAAGGGATGGAATCCTCACAAGTTGTCCCTAGAGTCCAGCTTTTACCTGAACCCGAATGGGGGGGGGGGGCCGTGGTTGGAATATTGGCTAGGAAACGGAATTTGTAGACTTGAGTTCAGATTCTGACTCTGAAATTTACAACCTCTGTGACCTTGGACAAGTCACAGAGTCTCTGGGTTGCTTTTTTTTTAAAGGTCAAATGTAGTCCTGATCTGTAAGACCTTTTTCTGCTCTAAATCCTATGACCCCTAACAAGGTTGGTTATCCAGCTAATAAATAGTAATAACAATAATAATAAATGAAGGTGGCTATATGGGACAGCACATAGAGTGCCAAGCCTGGACCTGAGTTCAAATCCAGACTCAGACACTTTCTAGCTAGATGACCCTGGGCAAGTCACTTAACCCTGTTTGCCTCAGTTCCTCATCTGTATTGTTATTATTATTATTGTTATTTTTTGGTTAGGCAATGGGGTTAAGTGACTTGCCCAGGGTCACACAGCTAGTGTTATGTGTCAGTCTGAGGCCGAATTTGAACTCAGGTCCTCCTGACTCCAGGGCTGGTACTCTATCCACTGTCCCACCTAGCTGCCTCAGTTCCTCATCTGTGAAATGAACTGGAGAAGGAAATGGCAGTACCTCTGCCAACCCCAAAATGGAATCACAAAGAGTCAGATGTGACTGAAACACAGAAAAAGGACTGAAATGAAACATAGAAAGGGTTCACTCACTACCCTGTTTCAGCCTCCCTTAACAAGAGGCTCTCTTTAGCCTCCAGGTCATCTAGCTGCAGCATTTAGGGCAGGGGTGGGGAACCCGCCTCTAGCACATAGCAGGTGCTGAATAAATACTTGACTGATTGACTGTCTTTGGATCTAGGAAGGGGTAGGTTCCAATGCTGCTTCTGACACGTGGTGGTGGTGTAACCTTAGGTAAGGTAGTAACTAGCTGAATTAGAACTGGAATCTAGCTCTTCTGACCCCAAATCCAGGGTTCTTGCCACCAGGGATCCTTGACCTGGGATCTATCAAACCAGTTTTTAAAACATTTTTGTAACTATTTCAATATTATCAATTCCACTTGTAATGCCATGTATTTTCTTTTATATATCTAAAAATCTTAAAGCGGCTAGATGGCTCAGTGGATACAGTGCAGGGCCTAGAGTCAGAAAGACCTGAGTTCAAATCCAGCCTCAGACACTTACTAGCTGTGTGACCCTGAGCAAATCATTTAACCTCTTTTTGCTTTAATCCATTGGAGAAGGAAATGGTAAACCACTCCAAGATCTTTGCCAAGAGACAGTATGGCATGCTATGGTCCATGGGGTCACAAAGAGTCAGACACAACTGAATGACTCAACAAAAAGTCTGATTTTGAGAAGGGGTCCATAGCCTCCCCCAGACCGCCCAAGGGGTCTAGAGACACGAGAAAATTTCAGACCCCCCCTGTACTGTCCCATAAGAATCTAGTCCAGGATGGGGAACCTGAGGCTCTCTAGGTCTTCAAGTGCAGTCCTTTGACTGAATCCAAACTTCACAGAACAAATCCCCTCAAGAAAAGGATTGGTTCTGTAAAACTTGAACTCAGTCAAAAGGCCACACCCAAGGACCTAGAGGGCCGCTTATGGCCTCCACCCCTGTAAATCTACTGATAGTATCTTGACAAGTAGCTTTACAGTCCCTGACAGAAGATCTCCAGTGATGGGGAGCCCACTACTTCCACCCCTTCACAGGCAGAGGCACACCGCCATTTTGAGAAAAGCTTCATTTGCCTTATATGGAGACGAGCTAGGACCCCCTATCATTTTATACTCAATGATCCTAATTCTACCCCCCAAAGCCAAGCAAAAAAGTCAAACCCTTCTCTTATCTGACGCCCCTTCAAACATTTGATCGCCACCCTCCTCTCTTCCTGGAGCAGTGTCTCATTCACATGAAACCTCTGGAATGTTTTCAGCTGCACAGCTGTTTCTATCCCAAGTCCCCACCTCCAGCCAGACCCCGGCTCGTCCGTGTCCCTTCTTGACATCGTGACTCCTTAAGCTGTATCCGCTAGACTGGCTGTGGTCTGAACAGAACTGAGACCCAAAGTGCTACCTCCTCCCTCCCTTTGGGCACAAGACTTCTCCCGTCAGCTTCTTTGGCCTCTACCTCACACTGCTGATTCATATTGAGCTGGCAACTTGGGAAAACCTTTTTCCCATAAACTACTTTCCAGCTCTGCTTCCCACATCCTGTACGTGTTCAATCAAAACTCAAATGCGGTTTATTTCTCCTATGTGCCATATTGTTACCTTCATTAAATAGCTCCAAGGAATATTCGGGGGTCTCAGTTCTGCCATCCAATACATTAGGTATCATTTCATGATAAATATGCTCTGTATTTTTTCCTCTATGGCATTGATAAGAATGCTGAAAAAAATCCCACCAAGGACGGAGCTCCGTGGCATTCCACTGGAGACCTCTTTTCCAGGCTGACACAATCCCATTAACCAATACTAGGAATCAGAGCTGGAAGGGACCCTAGAGGTCACCCAAACTCCCATTTTTATTGTTGTTGTTCAGTCATGTCTGACTCTTCATGATCCCACTTTGGGGTTTTCTTGGCAAAGATACTGGAGTGGTTTGCCATTTCCTGCTCTAGATCATTTTACAGATGAGGAAACTGAGGCAAACAGGGTGAAGTGACTTGCCCAGGGTCACTCAGCTAGTAAGTGTTGCCATTTCCTTCTCCAGCTCATTTTACAGATGAGGAAACTGAGGCAAACAGCGTGAGGTGACTACTGAGACCTAAGTACACTGAGCTCCCAAGGTCACAGGGGTAGTTAGTCAGTCATGATTTAAAACTTATTTTTCCAACCCAGTCCTTTTTCTACTACAACTGGTTACCACTCTTTGAGTCCAGCTGGGCAGCCATTCCAAACATACCTTAACTGCACTAACACCTAGTCTATACCTTCCCCCTTTCACCCACAAACATATATTGAAATAGTCAAATGCCTGGCTGAAGTCCAGATATAACACATCCATGACCTTCTCCCTTCTTGGGGAGAAAATCAACTCATCTGACTAAAAATAGCTAGAAGTTGACCCTGGGGCTTGAGGTTGAGGCAGAGAATTTTTAAAAACACAAGGGACTTAAAAGACATGGCAGACATAAAAAGTCTGTTGAGCTGAAACAGGGGGGTCTGTTGGGATGCCCTGGAAATGCCTGCATGAGGAATCTCGCTTTGCTTCTAGAGGCAATGTGGAGGCATCACAGCTGGAACTAATTCAAGATGACCAGGGCTTGGACTCAGGTGCTGAACATCTGTGGAGGACGGGGCACATTTCCTGCCTGCCCAGGACATCTTTGTGTGTCAGCAGGCCGGCTTCCTAGGTCACATTTGTGCCGGGCACCTAATCCCGTGTTACCTGCTCCCCCACAGCACCCTAGGGCTCCAAGGCTTTCACACGTCTTTTTTGGAGTCATTCTCCCACTGAGGTGGACTGCCTAAGTCCAGCTGCTTGGCCTGGATGCCCGTGAGATGTACGGGATGCCTGGGATCTATTTGGGGTCACTGGATTGGGAGGTGAGGAGGATGAACTCCCTCCTCCCCCCATAGTAGAACAAGGTCTCACGCCTCTCTCTTCACCTCCCTAGCAAAGGGCACTCACTGTCATACAAAGAGTACACACTCCATGTGCATCAGCGATAATGGTGGTCGCTGAGAGGCATTGTGGGACAGGGCAGAGAGACCCTGTCTCAGAATTGGGAAGACCTGGGTTGGAGTCCCACTCTGACTCTTCCTGGCTATGTGACCCTGGACAAGTAGAGGCAGCTAGATGGTGAAATGGATAGAGCAGCAGGCCTGAAGTCAAAAAGACCCGAGTTCAAAATGTTACCCTGAGCAATCTCAGCCTCTGTTTGCCTCAGTTTCCTCATGTGGAAAACGGGGATAATAACAGCCTTCCAGGGTTGTGAAATGATACAATGCCTGGCCCATGGTAGGCACCACTATACAAATGTTAGCTAATATTATTATTTCATCTCTCAGTACCCGGAGGCAACTCTCCTAGAAGCCAAATTGCAGAGCAAGTATTGATCTTTGTGAGAAAACGGTGAGTTGCTTAGACAGAGCTCCCTGTTCTGGTGAAACCAAAGGTCTGCTCGAAAACAAAATAAAGATTAAATAAATGATAGTGATTGATACATGGCCTGTCAAACAAAGCAATCACACACACACACACACACACACACACACACACACCCCCGCCCCGCACACACACCCTCTAGAAATCAACAGAGGGGATCCCTCCAGAATCAGGACCAACGGAAGCCCTTTCATTCTTTCTAATTCGAAAGTTGGAAGCATTTGGGCCCCTCAGTACTTGGTACTCCCCGTGGAGGGTGACTAAGTGATTCCTCCTGCTGCTCTAACCCTGTGATTCAGAACTGCTGCCTGCCTGGGCCAAGGCCCTTCCCTCTGCTGTCTTCCCAGCCTCATTCCTCCCCGTCCCAGCCCCATTCGTCTGGCTCCTACCCCCTTCCTGCAGTCCCTGTATCCCTCCGCCTTCCCTCACCGAGGTGCCCTCTGCAAACCCTTCTCTATTGTTAATAGGCTGATCTTTACCCTCTTCCTCTTGTGTTTCTTTTCATCTTCTGGTATTTGCTGAAACCTGGCTTTGGCCTAGAGAGACAACTTCTCTCAGCACCTTCCCCAAGTCTGGCTGCTCCTCTCTACCCCACCTGCCCCAAAAAGCCAGGAGGAGGAGGAGGCGACTCCTTGCTCCCTATGACCAATGTCCAGCCCTCCCTCCACACTCACCTCTCTTCCTTTAAGTTCCCTCTGGCTCACCCAGATCTTTACTGCTCTCATTTATGGACCTCCAGGTTACTTTCTCATCAAAAAGTTCACTACTTGTCTCACAGCCTTCTCACCT